GAACGACAGCAGCGGCACGTCTGACGGCAACCTCTCCAGGCGCAACGTGAGTTTCCCCTACAAAGTTCCCCACCTTTTCTGGAAGTTCTTCATGGACGGCCCTGCCCTTGACTTCCCTATCCCCGTTTGTGGCCTTATTGATGATGGTTCACACCTAGTTCTAATCACGCCCGAGCTCGTCGACCGCCTCAAGCTTCGCCGCCGTCTGTTGCATGTCCCCAAAATTGTTGATGTTGCCATGTCCGACTCTTCTACTTCGCAACGAACCCTTACTGAATACGTACACCTACGATGCATTAGTACCAACTCACGATAGACTTCCAATACTGTACGCGCTTTGATCGCACCCGGCCTTTGTGCCCCGGTTATTCTTGGACTGCCTTGGCTCGCATGTAATCACTTAGTAATCGACCACCACGAGCGTACTGTAGTAGACAAGCGGGTGAACTATAACCTTTTGGACCCTGCACCTCCACCCCTGCCTAAGCCTCCCCTTATCAAGCTTCGCAAGCGTATGAAGACTACGAAAGCTGACCACATTATGATGGCAAAGGAACTGGCCTCTGTCTGCGCAAGCCGCCGTGATCGCCTAGAACGCAAGGGCTTATTCGAACCTGTAAAGGAAGTCGACGTCGTCGCTGCGATCTGCGAACACGTTGAAGTCCTCGCCGACTGGGAACGACTTCAGAAGCTTGGCGAAAAGCTGAAACACGAATACCGGCCTATATTTGAGCCAATTCCACATGTAGACAACTTGCCGACAGATGTCGAATGCGAAATTCAGATGAAGTCTGCCTACAAGTCTCTGTCTAAATGTTCGTACTCCAGCCCTCGCAAATACCGCGATGCCTGGAGCATCCTCATTCAGAAACATCTTGACGCCGGACGCATACGGCCGTCAAATTCTTCTTTCGCATCCCCAGCTTTCCTCATTCCTAAAGCCGACTGCAACGCGCTTCCTCGCTGGGTGAACGATTTCCGCGAGCTCAATGCGAATACTACTGTCCACGATGTTTTTCCTCTACCTCGTGTCGAAGACATACTGGCAGACTGTGCCAAAGGCAAAATCTGGTCTACTATAGACTTTACCGACAGTTTTTTCCAAACCCGTTTACATCCCGACTCAGTAAAATACACGGCGGTGAACACACCGCTTGGCCTCTATGAGTGGCTCGTGATGCCACAGGGCCTACGCAATGCTCCCTCCATTCAACAGCGCCGTGTGACCGCGGCACTTCGCGAACACATTGGTAAAATCTGCCATGTATATTTGGATGACATTGTGATCTGGTCTGACACCGTAGAAGAGCACGATAACCACGTCCGTATAATCTTCGACTGTCTGAAGGCAGCGGGCCTGTACTGTAACGAGATGAAAACAAAACTCTTCCAGCTTTCCATTAAGTTCCTTGGCCACAAGGTCTCTGCACACGGGATCGAGGCGGACGATAGCAAAGTCGAACACATCTTGAATTGGCCCACTCCCAAATCCTCAACAAACGTACGGGCTTTCCTCTGTGTCGTCCGTTATGTCTCGCAATTTTTACCAAATCTCGCTACCCACACAGAGGTTCTACACTGCCTGACAACAAAGGCGGCGGATAAGTGCTTCCCAGCTGGGATGCTAAGCATGAAGCCGCATTTCGCGCAATAAAAGACATCGTTGTCGGACGCGACTGTCTCACAATTATCAATCATCAAGATATGGGCGATAACAAAATTTTTGTGACGGCCGATGCAAGCGATAGGTGTTCTGGTGCGGTTCTTTCATACGGACCAACCTGGGAGACTGCACGCCCGGTCGCCTTCGACTTGATGAACTTCAAAGGCCCCGAACTGAACTATCCTGTACATGAGAAGGAACTGCTCGCTATTATTTGTTCGCTGCGGCGCTGGCATTCCAATTTAATTGGCTCCCCGGTCTATGTTTACACAGACCACCGCACACTTGAAAACTTCAACACCCAGAGAGACCTCTCACGGCGCCAGGCACGCTGGATGGAATTCCTGGCACAATTTGACTGCTGTATCGTTTACGTCAAGGGCCAGGATAATACGGTGGCAGATACCCTGTCCAGGACCGACTTTGAAGAGACCCCCGACCCGGACTCAATAGCGCTGGCACCGTTTGACGAGGACTCTGACTCCACAGCCGTGGCTTCGGTCTCTTGCTCGAGCAGCTCACCTTTCTTTGCGGTGTGCTGCCTTGCACGCACTTGTATTCGGACCCCTTCGGAGGTTATTCCTAATCCTATTTGCACCATCTTGAATGTCTCTGTAGACGGCGCCTTCGTAGACTCCATCCGCGAGGGGTACAACTCTGACCCCTGGTGCTCTAAGCTCTCCTCAATAACACCGAGTTTCCCAGGCTTGATCAATGAGAACGGTTTATGGTACATTGGCTCGTGGCTGATTATTCCACGTTCCGGCATTATCCGCAAAAACCTCTACAGACTTGCTCACAACTCTCTCGGTCACTTTGGCTTCGACAAGAGCTACAAGTCTCTTCGTGATGCTTACTACTGGCCTAACATGAGACGCGACCTGGAGCAAGCATACATTCCTGGCTGCCCTGAATGCCAGGCAAACAAATCCCGGACAATGCCCAGGGCGGGCCCTCTCCATCCACTTCCAATCCCAGATGCTCGCAGCGATTCAGTTGCGATTGATTTCATTGGCCCACTTCCTGAAGATCAGGGTTACAATTGCATTGTCACAATGACCGACCGCACTGGCTCCGACGTACAAATCGCCCCCACCCACACAAATGTCTCGGCAGAGGATTTCGCTCTTCTTTTCTTCGACAAGTGGTATTGCGAGAACGGCTGCCCCCTGGAGATCATCTCTGACCGTGATCGACTCTTTGTCTCCGCCTTCTGGAAAGCCCTCCATAAGCTTACAGGCGTCAAACTAAAATTGTTGACTGCATATCATCCGGAAACCGATGGCTCCAGCGAGCGCACAAACAAAACCGTGAACCAATGCATCAGATACCACGTCTCCCGGAACCAAACCGGCTGGGTGCGCGCCTTGCCCCGAGTTCGCTTTCACATTATGAATACGGTCAACGCCTCAACCGGCTACTCTCCCTTCCAACTTCGCACTGGTCGTTCCCCACGGCTAATCCCCCCCTTTGCCCCGACAACTCCGATGTCAAAAATTCCAGCCAATGTACTAGCAGCCGATATCATCAAACGGCTCGAGACAGATTTCCAGGACGCGCAGGACAACCTCCTCGCGGCCAAATTCACCCAGGCCGAACAGGCTAACAAAACGCGGGGCCCCGATCCTGACTACAAGGTCGGCGAGCGTGTAAAGCTCTCCACTGCCAATCGCAGGGGCGCCTATGTACGCGGCGGTGCAAAGGGCGAACTCCGTGTCGCCAAATACATGCCGCGTTTTGACGGACCCTTCGTGATCAAGGCAGTTCACAAGGAATGCTCCACTGTCACTCTCAACATGGCCTCCCAACCCAACCTCTTCCTGGTTTTCCATACGTCGGAGATCGAGCCTTACGTCGAAAACAACAACGAGTTGTTCCCGAGCCTAAAACTGGACCGTCCCGGACCTATTATCACTGACCTCGGCGAAGAACACGAAGTTGCTGACATTATCGACCAACGGAAACGCGGCCGTGGTTACCAATACCTGGTCTGATGGGCGGGACACGGAAACGAGGACCCCCGCTGGCTCCCCGGAAGCGAAGTTGCTCACCTCGACGCACTGCGCGACTGGCTCGACTTGAAAGCCGCTCAAGCCGGCCCGATCGCTTCCATTGCGCATATCGATGCGCTTCGGGATTGGTTCAACTCATTGCTGGACTACGAAGCGCCGGCTGGCAAACCCTTTCCTTTCTCCCCGAAGTCGGAGGGTGTGCCCATAGCGGCCCGGCCTTAACGCCGCGAGTATCCTCCAGGCATGCATTTTGGCTACGGTTACTTACCTTACGTTTTCTTTTCTCTGGTTGAATTGACGTGGGACACATGGACTTCTTTAAAGACGGGGAGGGTGTAAACCCGCTCTGTGACTTGGACTCACATCACATGTTTACTCACGTGTTACGTTACATGACACTAGCTAGTCTCTTACCTCCACTCCACCATCTCCTCCCCCCCGTATTGTCTCCTTACTGCTTCTTGGAATCATATTCGGGTCTTATTGTCTTTCTGGTTCCTATCTTGAAGATTCTGTGGAAACTTGGTAAGTAAGCTTCCACATCAATATCGTTGTGATGAACCAGATATTAATGTTGAGAAATAGGCGAATCGTTGGGACACTGGTTTGCGGGACCGAAATTCGGGAACAAGCGGTTGGACATCAAGGTCGAGGGAGTCGGTGCCTGCATAGCGAAATACGGGTCCAAGATCAACCCTAGAACGCTCGGGCACAAAGGCTCATGCGGGTACATCACCCCTTTCTCGTCAGCATTCAGCAACTCGCACCTGGATAAAAAATTTGTCGAAATCTGCAAACTGCCGCTGCATCATACAGCCCTTGATCCACCACCCGCAATCAAGCCCTACAGGCGCACAGAGCCCAATGCCAGCAGAATAGACGGCTGTATCAGTGCAGCTGTAGGGCGCGTCGTTGTTATTGGGCCAGACGTCACTGGGGCGGACGATCGTCGGGGTCACTACGCCGAGACAGTGCCAGCGTCTCTGCAGTACGGGACTCCGATAGTCGAGGTGAGATTCCCAATGGAATCTGGTGGGCGGCCTCCGAATCAGCGCTATCACCTGGAGTGCCTGTGTCGCGCCTTGAATCAGGAGTTGGCGCACTGGAAGATTCCTGTGACCGACTTTGATGCGCTGCAGACGTCGAAGTAGATTTTTGTTTGTAGTACATTATAAAGAACTTGTATAGCCTTGCAATGGATATTAATTCTCACATCTCCCCCCCCCAAAAAAAAAAAACTAAAAAGACAGCGCCCTGGTCACAGTAGGATTTGTAGAAAAGAAAAAAGAAAAGGGAAAAGAAAAAGTTTGATATGAAACAGGAAGTGGCTACAGTAGGATTCGAACCTACATACTTCGGATAAAGGGAAGAGCCATTTGCAGGACATTAACCAAAGGTTTTAACCATTCTGCCATGTAGCCGTTGAATACATGTATAATCGAATAGTCAAACTGACATTAGACACGTCGTGACTTGAAACCCGTGAGCGTGTCGAGCGGAGTTTGAATTTTGACGGCAGCAGTGGAATGCCGTCTCCGCGCATGCCAAATGTGTCTCTGTTTGCCTTTTGATGTTTTCCCTCCTTGTCTTCATACCACTACCATCTAAATTAAGTAGTTCGTATTTGATGTATCATGTATGTAGAATATCCGGTGTAGCATAGTCTAGCAAAACAAAATTTATCAGAGTACAATTTAATGGTGCCAACGGTAATGACAGGTTGGACGACAATTGGGACTTTGCCACCGACACCAAAGCACATCAAGCGTGTTTCCTGATTCAGGTTGCGGTGGCCTGGAGAACAATGGAATGGAGTGAGTATTCACGATGTTAAATACTGCTTGCTGCTAAACTCACTTCTTCTTTAGCTACTGACTCGGTCGAGCCCCAAGCTCCCATTTATTTTATTGGAGAAAATCGCGTCGATCATCGCCATGGACGAGCCGCCTATCCAAAAACTACGTGCTCGCCCGCCTTCAGCCGCGGAACCTGAACCCCCCCGGCAGACATAAGGCAAGTTGGCAATATCCATGTACCAGACGGCGGTTAATTTTGTGGGATAGAAGAAAAAGCCGGACCACACGAAAGAGGCAAACATATTCTGCTCTCATTGTTGGATGCTAGAGCTAACTATCTACGACAGAAACAGCATGGACCCGCCGTGGCGGCAGACAACACCCGAGGAGGCCATACCCTACCGCGCCATGTATACCTACATTCCACCCAATGGACATGCACTGATATTCTGACCAGACTCGATCTCACGCGGATGTGACGCTACTCCAAGAAGAGCTCCCATTCAAGGCTCGTTCCAAGTCTCAGCCCAAGGTATGTTGGACCTGGTCTGCTGCGCCTCTGAAATTGCAACTTAAGTATTCTATTGGGCACGAGTAGGCAGCGGTACTCCTGCGCCAGCCCATCGGATGTACGTCGAAGTGCTGAATCTGCATGCAGTATGGAAGCGCAAGAAAGGCGCAACGGACAACAACACCTCCAGCACGAACGCACAGCGTGTAACCAAGACCAACGGCCAGCGCCGCTCAAACGAGAAACTCGACACACAGCTGCCACCCGCCCATGACGCGCCGCCTGACTCCAGCACGAACGAGCAGCGCGAGACCAAGACCAACGGACCAGCGCTGCCCAGATGAGGAACTCGACTCACATCTGCCACCCGCAGCCGTGCACGACGACCACAACATTGCTGCTCCCAGTGTCGACGGTCTGGAAGGGGTTAACGCGATTGCCGACAACTTGGAAGACATGCTCGCCTTGGAAGACTTCCTCGTCGATGCAGATGCCACTGAAGAAAATCAGACCTGGCCCTCCCTCCCTGCTTCCCCGTCTCCCCTGCCACCATCTTTGCCTCCACGTGCGACTCCCCCTCGACGCTCCCGCGGCCCTGCATACAAAGGGCTGGAAACGCCGCCGCACGAGTCCTCCACGGTGCCACCTCCGCCAGCAGGCGTGAGATTTGCCCTGGTCAAGCGAGAGGTTGAGCTCAGGCAAACGAGAGTGGCAAGCAAAGTTGATTGGCCGCCGGGACTCGTCCTTGACCATGATGGATGCATCGTCCCGATTGTCACGCGAGACAATGCTGGGAATCCGTCTCGCGACGACGACAGCGGCAGCGGAGAGGATAGCAATAATTGGTCTGATGCTGCTTGCGAGCGCGAACAGGAGATAAAGAAGAAGAAAAAGTACTCGCCACACCTTCAAACAGAGGAGGAGGCAGATAGGGACGACGAGGAAGAGTTTGAACAGACGGCGGTGGCAAGCAGTGACGAGGGCAGGAAGAAGTCGAAGAGGAGGGCGAAGGGCGGTAAGCGCCCGAAGGCGATGGCTACAGCGAAGTCGAAAGGGAAACAGACGGCGGTGGAGAATGGCATGGAGTCAGACGCCGACGACAGCAGCGACTTGGATTCAGAGGGCGAGCCTACCGGCGCTCCGGCGGGCGGATATACTCGCGGACCTCTTCCCAAGGCATGCAAGGAAGATGTGTTGGCAGCAAAGCAGGCGCATGACTCGGCCTTGGTGGAGATTGCGGCAAGGTACAATCATCTGCTGCGCATGATCCTGGAGTTGGTTGGGGATGCGACTCGAATGCCGAAGAAGAAGACGCTGTGGAACATGTTTCAGACATGGTACGCACAAATGGGCCCTAAACAAAGCCGATCAATAGTAAGTCTGTTCCCGTTTGAGACACACGTTAAACTTACCAGGACATCTCTAGTGCCCGCAGGCGAATGGGTGAATTTGGTGAAAGCCGAATTCAACGCTATGGTCGACAACCTTGATCCCAATGATCGCAACGACCCCGTGGCGCTGGAGGAGCGCTTCAAAGAAATCACAGAGTGGCACATCGACACCATGACCACCGAAGTCGCCCACCTAAAATCCCAGGGCAAGATGGTGCTACCAGTGGGCAAGTACGTCCGCACTTTCTCGAACCTCGTAAGTCCAAGTCATTCCATGTTGTACACCTTGCTGACTTGGCACATCAGGCAGCCAAGGTGTTCCAAGATTTAGGGGTCCATTTCTTTGGCTTCGCAATCGACGACGACAGCACATCAAGCATGATGTGGGGCGGGACGGTAGCTTACGCTGATTTGCGGGACCGGTATCTAACAAGCATCACCACCCAGTTGAAGGATTACGAGGGGATGTTTTGGTAAGTGCCACTCGTGTTGTTGGGGCAGCCGAGATCTGACGGCACGGGCAGTGTTTTGGGAATCGAGCAGCGAGACGGGGGAGTGACGTCAATGAGGCCCATACGCGCGGAGTTGAGACAGCGCCCTGGCGAGTCATCCCATGAATACGGACATCGTCTATTCACTGAGTGTTTGCGTCTGGATCTCGGTAGGTGTTGGTGCTCTTTTGACCCATATTGAGTGCTGATTAAACACAGAGCAAGCCTCGTCTGTGGCCAAGAGCGGTAACAAGTCATTGAAAATGGAATGGGACTTGGGGGACCTTGCCCTCAAGCACCAAGTTTGTCTGGAGAACTGGCTGGAGTTAATGACCGCCAAACAAGAGCAGCCACGCGTCGGATGGAAACTAACGGCTGAGGCGGTGCGGGCGATAGTCCCGCTTCTCAAGGACCGGCACCTGCCTGAGCTGGATCCCGAGCCCGAGGGGGAAGAGCAAGAGATGGACGAGTGGGTGGCATGGGATGAAAAACGGCGCCAGGCGGAAGCTAACACAGACCAAGCTCCACAGATTGTAAGTTGGTTGGAGGGTAAGTGATATCTGTTGCGGTGTTCGCACAACGACTGACTTTTATTCAGACAAAAAGGCATTAGACCTCGAAGAGCAAGGAGACATCCCCGTTCTGACAAGTGTGAACGGCACGCAGCTTCAGCACGTCCGAGACAGGAAGAGGCACGCGCAGCTGCTCAAGCGTCAGGAGGAAGAGAAGAATGCCAACGCCGAGAAGAAGAAGAAACGCAAGCGCGGCAAACACGCGGAAGCCACCGCCTCTGATGATGCGCCGCAGATGGACAATGTACACCCTGCCGCTCCCGCTCCTCCTGCTGCTCCTGCCGCTGCTCCCAGCTCCCCATCTAATCGCCCACGCCCTCGCCCACGCCCTCGCCCTCGCCCACTCGCTCCCGCTGCTAAAGCATCCCGACCTCCGAATGCGATTGCAAGCTCATCAAGGGTGCAATTGGACGGCTTCGAGGAAGCAGATTACCCGCCGCAACCTGATGATAACAATGGACGACCCATGAAGCGTCTCAGGCTGGATTCTGGCTCGGAAACGGTAAAGCTGTTACAGCTGCCACTAGTGTCAATGGTGTTGCCGCCACGAAAGCAGAAGCGGGACTTGGTCGACGATGGTGGTGTACAAACATCTGATGCTCAAACTCCGCCCACACCAGCTCCTTCTCGTCAAGCCCTTCCCACCCCCCACTCAACCGCCCGCCCTTCATCCTCAAGCTCCTTATCTCACCTTCGCCGACGGCGGAGCTCCTCGCTCAGTCAATGGCTTCACTGACGCCGGTCAGCCTCGCTATAATCCCAGGGCCTGGGGCAGCAACAGGAAGCTCCGTGTTTCTGCTCCTGCAGGGTACCCGCTGATCCCTGTGACCGACGACATGTCCGCCGGGGATCAACTGCAGCAGTGCTGGTTGCACATGCCTGGGACTATTTCTAAGGGAGAAAGGTGTTGTCGATACACCCTGGGCAATAATCACAGCCGCGCGTTCTATGTGTCGCGATTTGTACTGCGCACAGCAGAAGATGGCCCTTTCAGTATGGATGAAGGGGCGTCGCTCTTGTGCATTCGCATGGGAGATCTCTGGACGTTGGGGCCGGAGGATGAGATTGCAGTCATGACACCGAGACACCCGGGATATCACGAGGCCTTCTACAACGAGTTTTTCAGTAGACCTTGTTTTTCTTATGAGTAAAGAAGATCTTATAGGATACATATATGTAGATTACACTGTAACTGGAAGTCGTGAATGCACTGGATGGTTTACCACTTAATTTCTGACTGATCATCTACAGAGATGGACGGCAGCTGAGTGACGTGCACCGAGTTAATGGTGCCATTGGCTGGGACTGTGTGGCGTCCCCGAGCCAGAAATGGACATGCGTATGTGGACGATTTTACCGCGTGAATGCCCCGCTGACATTCCCATTGGGTAGGGACTTCGTCACCAAAGGACACCAATTTTCATTGTTTTAGATTCTGCCAGAAATGAAAATGTGTATGTGAAGATTATACCGCACAAATACGCCGGCTCATTGTGCAGACTTTGCCACCAAGGGACGGGGATTCTTTCATTGTTGAGGATTGGCCACCGACCTGAAAGCAGAAATCGGCGCAGACTTAAAGGCGGGATAGGACCATCTGCGCCTGCCACTCCCACTCCCCACCTTCCGGCTCTCCACTTCGATGCCTGCCGCTCGCCGC